ATTTTTTTCTTTTTTTCTGATTGTGTACATTGATTTGTTTTCGAGTGGAGGACCCCTTGGTCTTACCTGAAGGGGGTGCCGCGTGCGTGTCGTCCTCGTCCCACATGTAGGCCGTGGGCGGCTCGTCCTCGCGGTGGCTGAACTCTGCGGGCGCGGGCCTGGCGTACATGCTGCCGTACACGGCGTCCGGGACGGGCCGCGGGCCGGCCGCGCCCACCATGGTCGCGCCCTCTCGGTCATGAGCCGCGTGTCGATGGGGAGGACCGTCACGGAGGCCGTCGCGGAACCTCCTCGCCTCGGGCGACGACGTAGACGACGACTTCGCCCGAGCGGGTCCGTCGCTGACCAGGACGTGTTCATGTTCCTCAAGTACATCACTCCTGGAAATTGTGACAAGTTCGAGTCTCAGATAATGCTCACATCATTGCAGGGTGGTTCTTTAGGATAGGGTATCGTTCAGAAAGTAGACTAGACAGACACGTTACTAGTGTCATGCAGCCTACGGGACCCGGGCGAGTGACACATGAAATGGACCTACAATACTCAAATAAAAAGAAGAAAAGGGTAAGTCGCGACCAAACGGACCCACCCATCCGGGGCTTCTATCGGAAAGTATGTCCGTTTTTCAAATATTCATTCGGCAATTTACAGGAGCTCGGCGCCTGCGAAACACAGGGTAGGCTACCCCGCAGCACGCGCCTGCATCGCCGACAATATGTTGCCTACCTACAAGGCGTTATGAGCGCTTGGGTTGGACGAACGTAACGTGGCGAATACAAGACCATAAATAGCGTGAAATCTGAGTGGTTTCTGCGTGTACTGTACGCTTGCAGTCCAGGATGGACCAGGACCAGAACGCAAAAGGCTATTGTGGGTCTGCCTCCACTCAGAAGAACGGGGTAAGTGATCCACCCTCATTTTGATTGCACACAACCTCTTCTTGATTCAAAGGTGGCCTGCGAATAATCCAGAGAGTACATCCGTCATTCGACTTTGTGGCCCTGGCAAGTTCAGCCCACTCAAGTACTCATAGCGCCTGCTAGGTATGTAAATTTATTGCCTGCAGTGCATGCGTGCATTGCGGGTTGGCCTAGGCTCAGTCTGGCAGGCGCCGTGCTCTCGTAATTTGTCGAGTGGATCGGAGGAAAACGGACGCACTTCCTGGACGACCCCCTCTGCCACGATGAACGTCCTTCGGGGTGCCTGGCGCCCACAGTGCGTCCCCTTGCTCGGGCCCCGCGCGGATGGCGGGCCGGGGCGGGCTGCCGACTCCACACAGAGCTGCTTGGCGGGGTTGCCTTCCCAGCGAATTGCAAGTGACATTGTCGGTAGCCAAGCGTGTCAGCCGTCGGAACTAATCATGAACTTTGCTCCCGGACGATGGATAAATAAGATGCACTTTTCCTGCATGTGTGGGCTTTGACCGTGGTGGCGACAGGTGACCCACCTTGGGCCTATCGCCCCGGCTCGGGCACGTTCATTTTGTGGGGTCACCTGTCGGTCACTGCTCTGCTGCTCAAGACGTGAGTACCTGCTGGCTGCGGCGGGCCGTGCCCAGGTGGGCCATTCGGGGGCGCCGGGCGGAACGGGAGCGATCCTCGTGGCCGGCGGGGCCCCGGGCGGGGCGGCCGTGGCCGTGGCGAGGGCGGCCCGGGCCGGCAGGCACGACGCGAGGGACAGCAGGATGCCAGCGCAGCCACTGCAAAGAGCACTCGATGATAGTCATGAAGGACGCCTTGATCAATCCACCGTAGGCCGCGCGCGCGCGTATTCCTTACCAATAAACGCATCCAAGGGTCATGATTCTCACGACGGGCGAATCAAACGATCAACCATCCAAGAACTTGATGAGTCCAACCGCTGCTACTCGGGCCTCTGGCCTTTTTGGAAAACTGTGCTCTTCTCTGTGAATACATTTGGTCGAGCCGCTCGCACGGGCGGGGAGGGTGGCTTACGCGTGTGTGTCCATCGCTCGTGGCGGGTGGATCTCGACTGCAGAACCTGCGACTGGAGTGAACGGAAGATCGCCCCTCCAGCGTCGTAACGGGAAAGGGGACCGGAGAGGGAGAGGGGGAGGGAGAGGGAGAGGGAGAGCGAGA